GAACAGCTATATCTTTTTTCAGTGTCTCTATATCATGTTGAATGGTTATTAGCTGTTCAAATATTGAAACTACAGTTTGTGCTGTGAGAAGACATTGCTTTGCCATAAACTCTGTTGTATTCTCCCACGGTAAGCACTCCCCACTCTGAGTTAGATTGTTGTTGTCAACCTTCTTAGTCTTTATCTTAGTCTCCATGCCAGCTATATCTGGACTCATTATTTGTGAAAATAGCTGGCTGTCATTTTGCTCCCCTCCCCCCAGATTGGAAAAGTCCAGTATCTGCTGTTTTGTCAGATCTCTTTGCAAGTCCCGTTCTAGTCTCTCTAGCTTGTTGGAAATGGAGGGAGGGGAAATAGTTTTACTTGCAAGTCTCTTGCCAACAAAGTGTTCCTCAATTTTTGGTTGTTTTGCATTCTTCACTGGTAGGAGAGACCCCGGGCTGGTGCCATGGCGTTTCCTTCTTTTACCCATGCCTCCGTCCTATTCTGGTGGCTTCTGTTTCCAAAATATACTGGCCTCTCCGGTATATATACTTTATAAAAAGTCTTTGACTATTATAAAAAGGTCAAACCAGGTTTAAAAAGGGTTTAAAAATAGGTTTAAAAGGGTTAAAATAGGTTAATATAGGATAAAAATAGGTTAAAATGCAATGTTAAAAGGGATTAAAAAGTTAGAAGTTAAAATAAAAATAAAAGAAAATAATAATAATAAAAAAAGCTTTTGCTTTTGGAGGAGCTCTTTACAGCCTTTGCTGCCTGTCCACCATCTTGGCTCCCTCATAGCAAAACTACACCCACCCCATTGCTGGCAATGGAAAAAAAGTTGCGATACGTCACGACACATCACATGACATTGCGAGGTTGACACCCCTGGCCTATTTGAATGGTCAGCCTACTTCAACTTTTATGACTATCAGATGTTTGGACTTTCTGAGAATTCACTCACCAGTAAAGCCCTTGCTGAGAATTTTGGGCCACAAAATCCAGATATCTGGAGACTTGCTCAGATTGGATAAAGCTGATTATAACTGCAGCAGCTGGAAACCATCTAGATCAGACATGTCAAACACAAGGCCCGGGGGCCGGATGCGGCCCGCGAAGTGGTTTCATGTGGCCCGCAAAGCCATCCTGGAAACTGTGAGGGAACGGCCCCCTCTGCCTTGGCCCTGGCCTAGGCCGGCCGGAAGCCAATGTACAATTTTGTGGTGGCCATCTATGCTGAAACACATTCAGTCTTAGCTCCATAAGGTCCCCCCCTGCATGGCCTGAGAGGAACAGTGAGGCTCCTCCAGTGGGCCATGCCTTGGCACTTGCCCTGGTCCCACCCCCTTCTGCCAGAGACCCTCAGATCTATCCCACTCTTGCCCAGGCTCCCACAGGCACACTTGACACGAACGATGTAGAGCTGGCCACACCCACCCAGTAGGCCACACCCACTCCATCCACACCCACCCAGTAGGCCGCACTCACCCTGGCCACACCCACCCGGCCCCCTGAGGGCAACCACAATGCTGATGCGGCCCTCAATGAAATTGAGTTTGACACCCCTGATCTAGATTCTAGCCAAAGTGGAGCTACTAAGGAATAAGACAAGGACTGCGCAAATGAACCCCTATGCTTTTGAGTAGGGATATGTAAGACATTGGAAATATGTGTGAGAACTAAGTTCAATATCTAATGTTCAAACATGGTAATCTGATGCAGGTATACTTTTTATAAAGGGCAATATAACAATAAATATTTTATTTAGCAAATAAATGTTTTATTTAGCAAATATATTTAAAATGTTTTAAATATAGTTTTATTGTTTTCTATTGCTTTAGACTGCTGCTCCTAACCCCTCTGTCAGAAAGAATTATTCCTTAAGAAATAAACATGCATCAAATATAAAATCCACAGCATCCCCAGGTGGAACCCTACAAAAATTTGGCAATCTCTTGCAGAATTCTCCTACAATCATACAAACTAAAGGTAAGCAGCAAAACAAAGAAGCCTATTCTATTAATATGAAGCAGTTATGAGATATTTCTGTTGTTCCATCTGGAACGCTGCATATTTTAAAAGGGACAGTTGGTATTTAAACTACAGAGCAGAAGAAATCCATTTTGGGCATCGTTTTTTGTGTTCTTAGATATATATTTTTTTAATTGCTGGAGGGACATTGAAACTGTAATTTAATTAGTCTCAGCCTTACCTCATTTAGAGTCAGGGCTTTAAATGAAATACTTGTCTTTCCTGAAATGATGGCCTCTAGAAAACTGTAAAATATTTCAACAAGTTCTCTTTTGAGTTTGAATCAGCTGTTCCAAAATTACTGGAAATCTTCCAATGCTGCCTTAACAATTCTGGAAGTGTCAAAATAGCCTTATTTTGAATTCAAAACAGAGTCATTTTGACTTTAGACTCTTCCAGAAGGTTTCAGACTCTTTGAAAGAAAGGTTTGTTTTGAGCTTGAACAACTTTAAGTCCAGAATCTTTGCACTCCTTTTAGAAGCTTTTGTAAACCTTAAAAATATGGTGTGATAAATTGTTGAACTAAGACAAGGATGATCCAAATTCTTACTTGGGCATGACTGCTATAAAATCACCATTGCTCTCTATGTCATAAATTTGCTTAGGATAAAATGAGTCGGAGAATAAAAAGTATATTAAGCATATTAAAGAAAATGTGCTTGGCTGCATGTACCTAATGGAATGTATATGCAATTATTTATAATGATAAGCATAAGGAGGGCAGAAAATGCAGTTGGGTGAGAGTGAATCAGTAATGCTCAACATAAAACTATGAGGGGCAGAGTGCACAAATCACGTATTGGCCATTTGTCATCTTCTAATTGTGCTGGACTGTAAATCCTTAACAGCCATTTTGGTAAATGACATAACTCTCTCTCTCTCTCTCTCTCTCTCTCTCTCTCTCTCTCTCTCTCTCTCTCTCTCTCTCTCTCTCTCTCTCTCTCTCTCTCTCTCTCCCTCTCCCTCTCCCTCTCCCTCTCTCCCTCCCAGAGCTGTAATCATATTAAATACTACCATATAGTGTAACATTGAAGTGCAATATTAGGGGCAGCACAATGGTGAATAGAATGTGAAGGATGTGTTTATATAATGTATGTTCTTATTTGTGTTTTTACTTGTGTGTAGTGTGCACTGTACACCACTTAATTTCATGAGTTACACAATGACAATAAAGATATTCTATTCTATTCCATTCCATTCCCTCTTTCCCTCTCCTGGCTGGGGAATTCTGGGAGGAGAAATTCACCTGTCATAAAGTTGCCAAGGTTGAGAAACACTGTTCCAAATCATTGCTTACAATATTTTCATTTTGTTGAATAAATTTCAGTTGTATGGATCATGGCTTTTAAAAACAACTTCCAGGAGAAGAAAGGAAGAGATTTAATCGAGAAACATTAGTCTTTAAACTTTTTTATTCACTGATGGTCTAAATCAGAGTCTCTCAGAAATCTCCATGTACTTCTTATGCAATGCTAGAAGTTTACAGAATGCAATCTGAAAATCCCCGGTCTAGATACAAATAGAGCAGCGGTTCTCAACCTGTGGGTCGCGACCCCTTTGGGGGGGTCGAACGACCCTTTCACAGGGGTTGCCTAAGACCATCGGAAAACACATATTTCCGATGGTCTTAGGAACTGAGACACCACTCTGCATCCGTCTCCGCATGGCCTCCTGCGCCATTTGCAGAGAGAGAGACAGAGAGGCACTTTCCCTTCCCTCTCTCTCTCTCTCAGGCGGACTTACCTCCTGCAGGGCTCCTGATTGGCCCTGCGCCCGGGTGCCCCACCCCCTGGGAGAAGCGCAGGGGGTGGCAGGGACCCCCGACGATGCAGCCATGCCGCCACCGGAGCCGCTGCCTCTCATCCTGCTACCCCTCCCCACCCGTTCGGGTGAGGACCCAGCGGAGGCTGGGCCGGGGGCGGCGGGGACCCCCGACGATGCTGCCGTAAGAGAGAGAGAGAAAGAGAGAGAGGAAAGAGAGAAACAGAGGGAAAGAGAAAGAGGGAGGAAACAGAAAGAGAGAGGAAAGAGAAAGAGAGAGGAAAGAGAGAAAGGGGGAGAGGAAAGAGAAAAAGAGGGAAAGAGGAAAGGGAGAGAGAGTAGAGAGAGAGGAAAGAGAAAGAGAGGAGAAAGAGAGAGAGAGAGGAAAGAGAGAGAAACAGGAAAAGAGAGAGGAAAGAAAGAGAAAGAGGAAAGAGAGAAAGAAGAGAGAGAGAGAGAAGAAAGAGAAAGAGAGAGGAAAGAGAGAAAGAGAGAGAGGAAAGAGAGAAAGAGGGAGAGGAATGGCACTTCTCCAACCAGGCTGGGCGGAGCGGCTTTCCTGCCCCTCCTCCCCGGCCAGCTGGATGGGGGGTTGGGGGTCACCACAACATGAGGAACTGTATTAAAGGGTCGCGGCATTAGGAAGGTTGAGAACCACTGAAATAGAGCAAGCAATAAGATAGAATTGCACTGTTTTGAATAAAAGAGAACATTTCCTACTGTTCTCTTTCCAGCAAAGAAGCTGATGGCAACAATGAAATCTCCCAAATCTACTGATGAAGAAACTGTTACGAAAAATGATGACAAAACCAAGAAAGCTAAGCGAAAGCTACACTCAGTCAATATTTCTAATCCTGTTGAATTTTCTGGTCATGTGGTAAGTGATTCTACGAAGCATTTTGACCAACTCAGAGTGTACAGCCTTTTGAAAGCTGGGAATTTCACCTAATTTTGTGGGGGTGGGGGTGGGGGAACAGAGATGTTATAAAAAAGCTCATGATGCTTAGATCAAGATGAGGGCAGTGGTGGGATTTTCCATGTTTTTGTTTGGCAAGGGGGATAGCTTTAGTGTTTTGTACTTTAAAAGAAAACTACCAGGTAGTCCTCAACTTACAACCACAATTGAGCCCAAAATTTCTGTTGCTAAGTGAGACAGTGTGTTAAGTGAGTTTTGCCCCATTTTACAACCTATCTTGCTACAGTTGTTAAGTGAATCATTGCAGTTGTTAAGATAGTAACACGGTTGTTAAGTGAATGGAGCTTCCCCATTGCTTTTGCTTGTCAGAAGGTTGCAAAAGGGGATCACAAATCCGGGACACCCCAACTGTCATAAATATGAGTCGGTTGCAAATCGCCTGAATTTTGATCACATGACCATGGGGATGCCACTACAGTTGTAAGCGTGAAAAATGGTCATAAGTCACTTTTTTCAGTGCCATTGTAACTTTGAACAATCACTAAACGAACTGTTGTAATTTGAAGACTATCTCTATATTAAGTCAATTTTACAGTTTTCTCTGATGATGGATAGACATAGAATATGATACTGGTATATTGTGTAGAGACAATATAGACTTGGGATATTTTCTGATTTTTCTATTATTATTAGCTTTCCTCAGAGGCTGCCTTGACCCATCCAAGCCATCTGCTAGGAATATAACTAAAACAAATGCATTTTCTATTGCATTCTGTGTCTGTTCTCCTTAACTCTCTCTCTCTATCTTTAAGTTTATTTTTATATATGTAAGTTCCTGACTCAACTAGTCCTCCCAAGGAAGTAGAACTCTTGAAACAGGCATCGTCTGAAAATGAACTTTTATTGAGAGATAGTGATAGCAAGAGAGCAAAGCATGATCTAAAGTTTTCACGTGCAAAACGTCACATTAAACCATCCCTCCCCAAACCCCATCTCAATGGCCAAATGTCCAGTTTGAGATCATCCAATCCCCAGGTGCAAAGTTGTTATGGGAACCAAAGTAATAAGCGCCGTTCCAGGCGTCATTCCTGGGGTTTTGTTTCTCTCTCAATGTCCCCCCATCGAAGTGGAGATAAGGCAGATGACCCATGGCACATTCCTTCTTCCGTTCACACCCAGAGGCATCAAAGGGGTAATGAACAAAGTGGAAGAAATCCAGAACCGCCCTCCCCCCTTCCCAGCAGACTAGTAGGCCTGGCAGTTAAGGGCCATCCTCCCCCTCCCAGCAGAATGACAGACCCAAAAGCAGAACAAAGAAGCAGATTGAAAGATATAAATGCTGAGTGTCTGACAATATGCTTCTACTTTAATTGAAATCTGTACCATCCAGTGGGTTTGCCAAAGTAAATGTGCATAAGGTGATAGGCTTAATATTTATCCTTAATAATAGGATTTCAGCAAAATCAGCATTTTCGACTTCTGTCTTGAAGCTTAGTCTTGACTGCCTTCAAAGCTGATGACAGTCATTATTTTGGCTTGAATAAGATGTATTGATTGTATATTAGTTATTCAATAAACCTTAAGCTTACATCCTGCCCCACTTTTCAACTGCAAGATTAACACAAAAATCAAAATCTCCTGATATGGATCAGCCAGAATGCAGCATTATATCCAAATTAAAAGTAAACTGCTTAATCATAAAGCCGAGAAGAGCAAGCAACGTTCATTACCTGTATTTGGATTTAGCTTGTTTTTACTACCTTTAGGTGAGATTAGTGACAATTTATCTTGGTTTAGAGGCTTTATTGATTCCAGTATCCAGATATGTCTTATAGCTGTGCTGGAGGAGATCACATATGTTTCTGGTTTGTTCACGGTACAAATAGAACAGATATTAATCACCCAATTAAACCATTGATAAATGTTTCATGGCAATTGAATTATCTCAATCTTTAACTATGTTTTGTTGAAACAAAGTCTTAAGTTAGTTTGCACATAATGCTAAACCATAAACCATGGGTCAAGTAACTTGTCAAATGGGAAACACCATCATACAATAATAAATGAAACTATAAACATTATCTAAAAATAAGATGGTCAGAGTTCTGAGGCTTATAACTTTTCCTTGACCATGTGGGACTTTTTTTTTTGTCTTTTTGGATAATATTGAGAGTCAGCAAGCATAACCTAAGGATATTCTTAGCAGAAATCCAAAATACATTATTGCTTAGCATTTGGTGCTAAAAGCAATTTTATTTTATTTTATTCAAGGTCTGTTGTTAGTCATCTAAGAGTCATGAATTCAGATTGCTAAGCAGCCTTAAGAGATTATAGTCTAAAAAGTAATATCTTTTCCACATCATTTGGCTTCTAGTTGGACAAGTACTGAACACTGGATTATTTTTCTACTTTACATCAGATCTACGGCAGCTTGGGACTCTGAAACCATCACCAAGCTCCCCTAATTATAAAAATATAAAATATGATGGCCTTCATCATGCAGTTACTTGGGCACTAAAGATACTTGATTGCCAGCCCCTATAACTTGAAAGCTCTTGTAAACTTGGGAGGTTTAGCTTCTTTTTCTTTATTGGTCCGAGAAAGATTTTGTACTTTGACCAAGTACTATCTGCTTACCTGATTGGTTAGAAAAACTTTTTCATTTCTTTTTTAGATTGTTGAGGATCAAAAGGAAAGCCATCATGAAATCATCAAACGACGACTCCGAATGAAAAAAAATTAGTAATATTCTTTTCATGGAGAATCATGTATAGAATTGTTCAATAGATGTTATCGATGCTGTAACTGCTATTTCCATTATTTTCAAATCATTGGTGTAGATATTGTTGATATTGCTGTAAAAAGGAGCGAAGGGAAATTAAAATACGTTGAAGATTCCTTGGTATTCTATTATATATGTAGTTTCTTCTGAAGCCATATTACACAAGGCTGAATCTGCAATTTTAACAGTGTGGTATAATGATTAAGGTGTTGGGGTAGAAATGGGGTGAATCTGATTTTAGCCCATCCTCAACCACAAAGAGAGCCAATTTAATGTAGTGACTAAGACATTGGTCTAGAAACCAGGAGATCATGAGTCCTAGCCATGCTTTAGACATAGAGCCAGCTGGGTGACCTTGGGCCAGTTATTCACTCTCAGCCATAAGAAGTGGGCACTTAGAAACCACTTCTGAAAAACCTTGCCCCACCAAAACTGCAGGGACTCAAAAAACTGACTCAAATACACACACATACACATACACAACCACAAAAGCTTACTGAATGATGTTGGGCAGGTCACTCTGTCTTTTGTATAAACTGCTCTATATTCTACCATAGCTTCTGAATAAAAAGCAGAAGGTAAATCAAATAACTAAATGCTCCCAAATATCCTTTGGTCATGGAACTTAGCATCTTTATGATCTTGACTTGGGAAGGTTTTTAAAGCAAGCCATGTTTCTTGACTTTGAGTTGTTAAACCTGACAATAACTGCTGGGGGAACGACTGCTGTTAACATTCCTGTCATTAGTCATGAGGCCCTGGGCCTGTACAGGCACTCTTTTGACTTAAAACCAGAATTGAGCCCAAAATTTCTGTTGTTAAGCAAAAAAAAGTTGTTCAGTGAGTTTTGTCCCATTTTTCGACCTTTCTTGCCACAGTTGTTAGGTGAATCTCTGCAGTTGTTAAATTAGTGACATGATTGTTAAGTGAATCTGACTTCCCCATTGACTTTGCTTGTCAGAGGCTCGCAAAATGTGGTCACATGGTCACCAAACGGGACACTGCAATCGTCATAAATAGGACCCAGTTGCCAAGCGTCCACATTTTGATCATGTGACCATGGGGATGCTGCAATGGTCGTAAGGGTAAAAAATGGTCATGTCATTTTTTTCAGTGCTGCTGTAACTTCAAATGGTCACTAAATGAACTGTTGTAAGTTGAGGACTACCTGTAATTCAACAACTGTAGGGTTGAAGGTGTCTCTTCTCCTCGGAACAATTCCAAGGGAAAAAAACTTATAGTACTAGAAATGGAGTGAATTTTCTATCTTAACTCTTTGGCACAAGAACTGATAATTTTAGGGAACTGCCATTTAGGCATAGAAGGCAACACCCACACCAACTTATGTTAGTGGTTGTATCTATTGCAACAAACTGTTTATACATTCTCAGTCTACTGCTTTATGTTGTAGGTTTTTGCCATAGTGGTGGCAGAGCTGAAAGCTCCACCTTGTTAGCTTTTCTTTCTAATTCAATGCAGGAGTTCAGCCCCTTTAGCGCTGTGTAGTGCCAAGGTTGCATATTCTAAAACGTTGGCTTCCCTGTGGGATTTCTATTTTAATTTTTTTTTAACAAAATGATGAGTGCAAAAAGGCTCAGTCTGAGCAAGATATATTTATTTTAATGACTGCACTTTTGTGCAATACAGGGAGGGAAATTAAGCATTTTCATAGTTTCATTACACTGATCCCCCTTGTATCTATGGAGATTCTCAGTCATCCAGGTCATGGTTGTCCCAAAAGTGCTTTTTAAAAAAAGGCAACTGGGCTTTGTTTTTCCCTTGAAGACGTTTCGCTTCTCATCCACGAAGCTTCTTCAGTTCTGACTGAATGGTGGAGAATGGAAGGATTTACATTCCTTGCAGTCGTCTGGTCATTAGTACTCTTCCCCCTCATCTTCAGTCAATGCAAAATGTGTCTGCTGAATCTTCTAGAAGAAGCTTTGAAGTACCATATTGTCCTCCATGCTTCCTGGATGATGTCTGTGCCGTATCTGGGAAATACATCTTTCGTTTGTACAAAGAATTTGCAAAAATCTCAGGAGAGTGTTCTGAGACTCTTGCATGTTCTCTCTGAAGATGGGAGCAAAGATGTATTTCCAAATATTCAAGGGAAAAGTCTGGCATTTTTGTAAAAAAAACATTTTGCCATTTACCTTTGGAAAGCCAACAATTTCTAAAGCAGCACCTGATGCACTGTGCCTTCTCTGGTGCCCAGACTCCTGGTCCAACCAATTTTATTATTAAAATTTAATAAACATGCTCATAATTGTACGTTGATGGGGAACTAATTCTTCAGTTGCCCTTGAATGAATGTCTGCTTTGTAGTTGGTCATGCGTTCCATAGAGCTGTCTTACGCAGTATTCATAATATATTTTCAAATTTTCAAATATGCCCAAAATTTCAAATAAGTCCACTAGTCTAAAACATTGGAGATCCCTGGACCTCCAACCTTCCTTATATCCAAATAGGCCTTATAAAGTTACCTTTGATAGATCATTGCAACTGGCACGAATAATATCAATTCCATCATTTGTGTGATGTCACTTGTTCCACTTTATTTTCCCCCACAGAGCCCAGTGGCAATAACATTTCAATATTCTATCACAGGGGTGTCAAACTGCCGGCAATGGCAAACTGTGCCGATACGTTCTGCGACGTCACGTGACGTTGCGAGTTTGAATCAGAATAAGAGAATAATAGAGTTGGAAGGGACCTTGGATGTCTAGTCCAACCCTTGCTCAAGCAGGAATCCCTACACTCCATTTCAGACAAATGATTGTCCAATCTCTTCTTAAAAACCTCCAGTGTTGGAGCACTCACAACTTCTGAAGGCAAGACATTCCACTGATTAATTGTTTTCACTGTTAGGAAATTTCTCCTTAGTTCTAGGTTGGTTCTCTCCTTGATTAGTTTCCACCCATTGTTGCTTTCTTGTCAACCAATAAGATTTGGATATTGAGTTGGTTGTCAGTTCCACTTTTGAGCTAGTTGGGTCTATGCATAGTTAACGGTTAGAAACAGACTGAGCTGGTGGCCCTCCTTCATCCTGTTGTCTAACTCAGGCAATTGTCAATCAAATAAGATCTGATATGTTTGTTTCTACAATGATTGAATGATTTTGTCTGGGTCTCTGGCTTAGTTTAAATTAGGAGGTAAATAAACCTCCGCTAGATGGCACTTCAGCACCTTTTTAAAAGTAAAAATGAGGTGTAAAAGAATCCCATTTTCAAATGTTTTTATCTTGAAGAGTTTAGGTTGCAGAAAGGGGAAAAAATGCTTATTTGGACCAAAGCACAATGTAATACAATCAAACAGGTAACGGCTGAGGCCTTAGTCACCATCTGGCAATCTACTTTGAGCAGGAAGTATTAAATGGTATGTAGCACACTCTTTTAAGATATTCTCCAGGTTGAGCTTCTGCAAATAATAATGGATGCTCAGTTTGGGGATGGCAAAAATCTCACATCCAAGAGCAAAAATAATCCCTTGCCTTTGGTGTTCTATTTTATTGTTTTGAAGTAATGTTTCTTTTTAAAAGAAAGTTGCCAGTAAAGGGAGGGGGGGTTGCTTTGAGTGCTGGTCCTGTCTAGCTAATTTGTAAGAGGATTGGACGCTGTAAATCTAGATGGTAAGGCATTAAAAGACAAATGTGTCAGCAGCGACATAAATCTGCAGTCACTGGGCTCTCCATTTCCCTAAGCCATAATGCAGTTTATTCAATTGTAGATATAACATGTTGTGTGAACTCCGCCATTGAGGCTAATAAACCATGGTGTTTGAAATTAGGCAGTTTCTAGCACATAAAGGATAATCAAAAGAGCCTCCACATGTTAGGATTCTTGATAAAGCTTGTTTTCAAAATGATAAGGGTTCCCCAGTTGGAGTGAGAGTCCTTTAAGGAAATGGAGGCTGGGGGAAGGAAGAAAAGAAATAATAGGAATTACCTACTAGTTTCCTTTGTTCACATTCCTCCTTATTCCTTTGTCACTGCTATTTTAACAAGCTTTCACGCTATGTTTTAATAGAGAATGTTGAATAACTGTTTTCAAACTATTGCAGAGATTCTAAGATGCTTAGATAATAACAAAAACGTGGATTCTTATTCATAAAGGAAATAGAAATCACATTTAGGTAGAAAAAAGAAAAGAGTTTCTATTTAGAAATCCTGGGTTGAACATGGTCAGTGGGGACCTTCTTGTGAGCTTCTTATCTACCATGTCTTTATATTCTTGCCAACATATATAAATCTTTAGTACTCTTATAAAAAGCTTGATGATCAAGGGCTCTTCCTGACCTTATTGGGCAGGGAGATGGGGAACTATAAACATGTTTACATTTTATTAATTTACTGAAAGCCTTTCCAGAACTTGATGAAATCTTGTTGGTAGGTTTGTTTCTAAATGCCTGCAAGCAAACACACGTTTTGTCTGAAGATTGTAATTAAATTCAGGCTCTTTTTTCCCTAGTTTTGTTGTCTTCAAAAAATTGGATAAGACCTATGGATGTGACCCTTTCTAAATTTGCTGCCAAATTTGTATGTTTTAATGCATCAGAAGGAGAAAATGATTAAAGCTACCATATTTAATAATTCCGTTGAAATTAAATTTAAAGAAAGGAAATCTAATTTACTCTGCCTCCTGCCACATAAAGAAAAAAATGTAGTCCTTACTCCTTATTTTGTTTAAGGGGTTATGAAGAACTCCAAAGCACATCCCCTACTTGTGAACTTCAATTGGTCTAATAAAACTTTACTGTCCTTTTCTAGACAAAAGAGTGCTTTCATCCTTTACTTGGCATGCTATCCAAGGAGGAGAAGAAAAATTGCTTTCTCTAACATAGGCAGCAGCACCAAGCTAACCTTGGCTAATCTTGAAAAAGTTTAGCAAAGTCAGGCATGGTTGTTGCTTGGAAAGCAGACCACTAGGAAATCTCAGGCCTACAGACTAGAAAACATTAAAAAAAGAGGCGGTGGCAAATTATTTCTGGATTGTTACCAAGAAAAAAAACCAGTGCCATCAGGAAGGGATGTTTTGTTTTATTTTAATTGCATTGCCTGGTTGTTTATACTGTATTCCACCCAGAGTTATAGTAGAGTTGAGCGGTCTAAAGCAAACAAATATAGTCCTCAGGAACTGACCTTAACTCAAGGAAAAGCA